TGCAACCCTGGCCCGGCCCATCCTGGTCTCCATCTCCGTCCTCTATACCTGCATCCCAGCTCGCTGACTGGCCCAGCTCGGCCCCTCTGCTCCAGTCGGCCGCTCTCCCGGGGCCGGCGCAATGTAGTGGGGGAGGCTGTGCCCGAGCCAGCTGCACCGGGAGGGGAGGGAGCGCAGCCCAGCCCTACTGCAGGGGGGGACAGGCGAGCCCTCCCCAGGCCGGCCCTGGAAGCCACCCATGACCCCTACTCCTGTGGGCACTTGTAGCCTTGGCAGTCAGCACCCTGCCCCCCTGGCCCGTGCTTGGACAGTCTGGGAGGGTGGGCCACTTCTTCACCTCCAGAAATCTGCCCTGTTCCCACAGCCTGGAGGGCTGTGCCCAGGAGGGCGAGAACTTCGGCAAAGGAGAGGCCAGGGCCCTTTCCTCCTCCCGTTCCTCTTTTATGGGGTGCAGCGTGACCCACCAACCCTGGCCAGAGCCTCAGCCCCCGCGAGACAGCTAGAGGCCAGACCTGAAGCTGGAGCACGCAGGGTGTGTGAGGAAGCCCCAGCACAGGGCAGACACGGGAAAGGGGGTGTTATCCTGGAAGGCATCTGCTGCCCCCCAAGCCAGGGGACAGGCTGGACGTGGTGCTTAGAGGAGCAGGTGCCCTCTCTGAGCCTCAGGTGTGCACCCACCTGCAGGGGTAGCCAGGGGTTCGAGCCTGGCTTTGTCTGCAGGCTGCGGGACTACCTGGGATCCAGGCTGTGAACTGGGGGTGACGCCTAGGGGCAGGGCTCTGCCCGTGCTGTTACTGCTGCCCCAGCGCTGTGCAGCTGCGTCCCCACTTCACAGAGGATGGAGCCAAGGCTGGAGGGACGAGGAACAGCAGGTGCTGCGCCCAGCCCAGCCCAGCCCGTCTCCAACCCTCAGGGGGCCACCTGCACTGCGTGGCAGCCCCAGGGAGGGGGGGTGCTCAGGATGGCCCTTGCCAGCCCACAGGTGGAAGCCCTGAGAGCTGAAGGGTCACAGAGCTGACGGCAGCCCAGTCTCCAGGGCAGGAAGAAGTCAAGCAGGGGCTCCAGCCTGTGCCTCCATGCCCCTGCCTGGGGGTGACAGCGCCCCATCTGGGGGTACAGGAGAGGGTGGAGCCTCCCACCACTCACCTGCCGTGCGCACACAGGCTGCCGCTTCCTGCGACAGCCACGCCTCTGCCCCGACAGTGTGCAGGAGCCGGGACTGCGGGATGCGTTTCCTGCCTGGCTTTGAGGGCGACGGGTGTGCAGGCAGCTCGCCGACAGGCTAGCGGTCCGTGTGCATTTGTTTTAATGAAGTTGAGTTTGCTGTGTGCATGTGCCCCCCGAGTGAGAAATCCCCCGGAGGGTGGCCAGGCTGCAGTCCGTCCTCTTCCACTCCCCTCTGGGGATTCTGAGCTCGCACGTGCTGGCATTCAAGCTACCTGGCCCGGGACTCAAACTGCATGTTGGCCGCCATGTGGCCAGCGCCTTGGCTACCATACCGCCGGCTGGCCCCTCATCTTTCTTTCTCTTTTAAAAAAGAATGATTTTACTTTATTATTTTTAATTTGACCAGTGAGAGAGAAAGTGAGAAAGCCAGTCACTGTTGGCCGCCGTGTGGCCAGGTCCTTGCCTACCATACCGCCGGCTGGCCCCTCATCTTTCTTTCTCTTTTAAAAAAGAATGATTTTACTTTATTATTTTTAATTTGACCAGTGAGAGAGAAAGTGAGAAAGCCAGTCACCAGGTCCGGGACTTGAACCACAGCCAGCGCCCCAACCACCAAGCCACCTGCCGCTCCCCATGTTTATTTCTATAGGAACGAGTGCTAAATTATTGGGTCAGGAAAGGCATGACTTGTTCCCGTATGCAACACTCCATCACGACTTTTTCGAGGACTCAGTCCAGGTGCTTGGCTGCCGGACACAGGCCGAGTGACAGTGAGGGCAGGTCCCCATGCTGGGAGCTGTTGGACCAAGGCTGGCCTCCAGCCCTCTAGCTCAGCAGGGGTAGATCAGCCCAGAGGCCCAGTACGGCGGGGTGGGGTGGGGGGGGACCCGGAAGGGAAGAGGTGCACAGGGCAGGCAGGGGCTCCCCTACTGGGACCAGGTGGCAGTGAGGTGGTTTGTCTCTATGGCGACAGCTCCCCTCCCCTAACAGGGTCTTCATGCCACGGCCACCCTGAGCCTTGGCCAGCCAGGTGAGGACGTGTGTGCCTAGCACCCGGGGAAGTCTCCAGACTCGGAACCGCCACATTCCCATGTGGATCCCTCCGCGCCATGATGGGGCTCCCAGGTGCCGAGACTTTCAGGGGTGCTCTGAGAGTGGTGGGCTTCATGAAGCACCCCGCTAGACTTCCCCCGGCCCCTCTGGACACACTTGGCCTTGGGACATGCAGCACAGGCTGAGTCCAGCGTGGTGGGCGGGCCTGGGCCCCCCGGAATTTCACTTCCTACCTGCCTGTCCTGTGGCAGAGAGGTGCTAATACCATGGGGTAACCACAGCCTGGGCTTCTGCTCCTGGGCGCACTGGGGAAGAGGACTCCGGGCCCTGGGTCGTGTGGACTCTGCAGGGCAGGAGCCCACAGCAGGAAGGAAGGGGGCCTGAACCGTGCGGGGCTCTCTGGCTGCTCTGACCAGTCAGGAGGCTAGGTGGGCCTGCACCTAACCACAAACCAGGCTCCGGTCACGCATCCAGCCAGCCGGCTGCTACCTGGGTGGCCAGGCCCAGGTCTGCCCACAGCCACTGCGAGCAGGGACCCTCCCCATCCTCTCCCAGGTCCTCAGAGGCCGGACGGTTCACAGCGATGGGAGCACCAGCCAGGGCGTTGATGTGGTGGGGTCCCGCATCACCAGGACAGAGGTGCAGAGTGGGTGGTGCTGAGAGCCGACTTCATCAGAGCCAGGGGAAGAGGCAGGGAGGGCCGGGCACACCCGCCCATGGCCCTGCTGCACCTGCACAGCCTTGGCAGGTCCTGTCCCCGTCTCTGGGTGCCCAGTGAGCCCAGGTGGCACGGTCACCTGGCTGCTGCCTGCTCTGGGGACGAGTCTGCAGCCACAGTGCCTTCGCCGCTGTGCTGGGAACCCATGCAATGGAGGACCGGGGCTGGTCCTGCTCCCAGGGGCCACGGGCCAGACAGCGCACAGGGGAGGGCTCACCGTCACTGCCTCGCATGGCTCTGCCAGGGCCCCAGAGCAGGCGGGGTAGAGGCTCAGGCCGGCACCCGCAGATGGCTGTCAGCCGGGCCACCAAGGTGGGGTGGCGGGACTGGACAAATTCCCCTGCTGTTCATGGCCAACAGCGACACGCCCCGTAAAAGGAGGGGAGGGGAGCCCTGGAAACAGGCTTCCCACACACCAGGACACTCGGCATGCCACAAACAGGGCCTTCAGTGAGGGAGGGCATGGCTTCTTCAGGACATGCAGTTAGGGCAAACGATTTTGAGGGGAAAAGGTTTTGTTTCTGGGACAGGAAGAAACAAAATGGTTCCGTCGCTGGACTCCCACACAGTGGACCGCAGTTCGAGTCCCAGATCCAGCAGCTTAGAACTCATACCAGGTGTGTGTGCGTGTGTGCCCAAAATCCAGAGAGGAGGATGGGGAAGGGACTGCAGTGTGTCCATCCCCGCCAGGGGTAAGTTCTTGCTTTCTGTCTTTCCGGCCAGCACATGCGCCCTATAGCCAGAAAAACACCTCATGCTTGTACGCATGCGCGTGTGCCAAAATCCCAGGAGAAGAGCAAAGGGACTGGGCTGTGGCCATCCCCCTGGGGGTAATCTCTCACTTTCTGTCTCTCTCTCCCGCGAGCGCATGCACCCTAGGGCAAAAATCTCTCTCTCAAAAAGAAAGTTTTGTTTCCTGCCTCGTTGGTCACCAAAAGTCTTTTCTAGAAATAGATCCTAAATTTTTTATGTAATGTGTAGAATAAACCATTACGTTTCTAGGAGAAAATACCCAATGCTTTATAATCTTGGAGTGGAGAAGACATTTCCGGGCATGACAGAAAACACAGAAGCCATAAACGAAAAAATTAATAATGACAATTTTAAATGCCTGGCCAGAAACCAAACCGACCAGAAACAAACCCCCACAAAGTCAAAGACAGGTGACAGAGCAGAAAGAAACTTTTCACAGACAAAGGACGAACTCCTCAGCATGTGAAGTGTTCTAAAACAGTAACACTGACAGCCCACCAGGAAGGCGAACGTCGAAGGATAGAAAATACCAATGGCTCCGAAGTGACGAGCGTTCGTATCAAGTTCCAGCTCCCGGGGCATTACCCGTGCGGAACGGTGCACAACGGCCGGCAGGTGCTGGGGTACGGCGCTGCGACCCAACCCGGCATCTCAGCTCTGCAAGGACGCGCGCCCCCCGTGGGTGGGGACCGCGGAGCCACGTCCGGAGTGACCCTTGAGGGACCGACGGACCCCGAGCACCGCGGCCCGAAGGAACCTGGCCTAGACAAACTCGCGCTTGGGTCCAGCTCTGGTGCGAGGACAGGCGACCGGGCCCCGCCTGTGCTCAGGACGCCTGCGACCAGCAGCCCGGAGACGAGCTGGGCTGGAAGGCGGTGCCGCTCAGGGCGGCCTGCGAGCGCGCGCCCAGCGGCCCGGCGTGTCCCGGGGCACGGCCGCGCGCCCGTGCCCAC